CTAGGAATTCTCTTCTAAAAATACTTTTATGCATTATGTCATACATGTAATGAGGTATAGAAGTCATAAGTATACAGCTGGATGAAATATCATAGAGAACCCACCATGGTAACTGCCAAAGTGGAATTATTAATGCTAGAGTTAGCCTGCAGTAAGTGTTTCTTTTATGGTTTAAAAAAAAAAAAGGTCACCGTATCTTTTAAACGTTGTGATCATGGCCACAGGAAAAGATTTTGAAGTCCATGGCTGGTCAGTTGGGAGCAAACGTGAATGTTCTTTGGCCTTTTAACTGAAAGTTTGCAGATGGCTTTCTAAGACCCATGCAGAGAGAGAGACAAAAAGAGGGAGGAAGAAGTCTTCCTTTGGGGACTATCTTACAAACACTAGTTTGCCCTTGACAAGGTTGCCTTTTCCCTTATATGGTCTAAAACAGCATGCCACTCTCTGCAAAGGTGGGAGTGTTCTGCACACACCCTCGCTGCCCAAGATGCAGGCCGCTATTGCGTGTGGATGGGTATTGAGTCCTTGAACTGTGTCTGGTGTTGCTGATGAACTGAGTTGGAAATTTTCTTTGCCACCTGCTTTAAGTAGCCACATGGGACTAGAGTCCACTTTGTTGATCATTGTGGGTCCAGAGTTCTGAGAGATTAGCAAAAAAAAAAAAAAAAATGTTATATAAACTTCACGTTGCCTAATTGTTAAAGGTTTCAGTCGTGTAGAATACAGAGTAAAATCGACACCCTAAGTCAGTTTGAGTAGAAGCGATTTAGTTGGTTTTGCTTAACAAATTTCTTAAACAGCTTCACCTGAGATCCTTTGGATGCTCACCTCCCTCATGATGCGCTGTGAATATTCGGGGCTCAGGCAAGCATTGCGTGAGCGTTCTGAAGCTTACAAAGCAGTTGTGTGCTGTTAGCAGGCTTTTCCCCTCACTGACGGAAGCCCAGGCTACCAGGAGCTGCGGGCTCTGTGGCAGGCAGTCCCTGAACTCACAACTGGAACCGTGGGTTCATTGAACAGAGGGGAGACAGAGTGGGGAGAATACTTCTTAGCTTCCACTCTGTGACTATCCTTTGAGTCCCCTACTGCAAAGTAGCCTTGTAGTTACCACAGTGAACTAGCACAGCGCCTGGGAGAAACTTGTCCCCTCACCCTCCCCTTGGCTGGTCCAGTTGCTTCCATGCTAAGAACTTAGCCTGCTTCCTGGGTGCTCACAGAGGATGTGAGATTCCTGGGTCAGAGACAAGGACCTCACTAACCCCATTGACTCCACTGAACAAACAAAAAATTAAAAAAAAATTTATTTATTTGAAAGTCCGAGGTACAGAGAGAGGGGGAAAGACAGAGATCTTCCATCTGCTGATTCATTCCCCGAGATGGCCACAGTGGCCAGGACTGAACCATGCTGAGTGGGAGTTGGGTGCTTCATCCTGGTCACCCATGTGGGTGGTAGGGGTCCAAGCACTTGGGCCATCTTCTGCTGCTTTACCAGGGACATTAGCAGGGAGCTGGATCAGAAGTGGAGCAGCAGGAACCGGCGCCCATATGGGATGCTGACTTCGTAGGTGGTGGCTTTACCTGCTATACTGCAGTGCCAGCTCCCACGAAAAACAGATTTTTGCTGGCTGATGAGCGTTGCTTTGTTTTAAATGTCTTTGGACAAACTTTGTTGTGGTTTTTATTCATGTACTTTGATATCCATTATGAACGATCCAGCAGTTCACAGCAAACAGCTGAGGGAAGTGTTTAGCTCCCAGACTGAAGACATGGAGATGGTGGCAAGGTCTTACATTTGTCCTTTGCTCCCCTTTGGTCTTCATGCACACTGGGGGTGAAAGACTGTGCTCAGAATATAGCCCTCAGGTGGACCAAGGTCACCCCTTGAGACCCAGGCCACAGGAGCACAAAGGGATGGCAAAGAGAGCATTGGAACTAAGATCAGAAGAATAATAAGAAATATGTTTTAGGGGCTGGCATTGTGGTGCATCACATTAAGCCACTGCCTGCACTGCCAGCCTCCCATATCGGAGTGCCAGATCAAGTCCTGGCTGCTCCGCTTCTGATCCAGCTGACTGCTAATGCGCCTGGGAAGGCAGTGGAAGATGGCCCACACACTTGGGCCCCTGCCACCCATGTGAGACCCAGATGGAGCGCCTGGCCCAGCCCCAGCCAATGTGGCCATTTGGGGAGTGAACCAGCAGAAGGAAGATTCCTATTACTCCCTCTTTTTGTCACTCTGCCTTTGAAACAAATATTAAAAACAAACATGTTTTCCAATGTAGTGGAGCAGGCAAGAGTTGTCCAAGCTTAGAATTGGCCTTTTACAGGATAAGTTAGTGTTAATTAAAAACATTTTTAAATGTATATTTGGGGTAAAATACACATAAAATTTGCCATCTCAGCAGTTTGTAAATTTACAGCTTTGTAGTGTTAAGGAGGTTCACATTGCTGTGGCAACTAATCTCCAGCACTTCTCTTGCAAAGTTGAAACTCTGTACCCATTGAATACCAGCTCCTCATTCCTCCCGCACCCCCCACCTTTCTGCTCTCTATGAATTTGGCTGTTAGGTGTCTCATAAGTGGACGGGCACAGTATCTGTCGTTTCGTGCCTGGCTTGTCGCTCGTCCTGATGCCCTCAAGGCTGTAGCTTTTTTGGGGGGCTCAGTGCATTAGTGTTCCTAGCTGGATGTTTTGTAGGTGGCTGCCTACGTGACAGCAAATGTGGTCTGTTTCCTCTCTCCCCTTCTACTCAACCCAATCAGATTACTGCTTTATTGAGTGTATGTGGCAGGAGTTGTTTTTCCAAGCATATTCTCATATATTCATTTTAAACAGCAGCTTTCTGTAGGGGTAACTTGCCCATTTCAAGTGTACAAATTCAGGGGCCTTGGGTCTGTGCCCATGATTTTTGGGATACTCATAGACTTGTGTGTCTTTCACCACAGTCAGACTTGGAGAGCTCTTAGCTTCCGCAGGAGAAACCCTGAATCCGTTAGCAGTCACTCCCCCTCCCCCAGCCCTGGGCAATCATGAGTCTGCTTTCTGTCGCGTGGATTTACCTATTCTGCACATTTCATGCAGCACGTGGCCTTTCGCTTCTGCCTGCTTTCACTTATCATGATGTGCTCAACATCATCTGTATAGCAAATATCAGCTTTCCTTCCTTTATATGGCTGAGTCACTGTGGTATGTATGTGCCACATGTTATTACAGCTAGCCATTATTTGATGGACATTTGGGTTATTTCCCTTTAGCGGTTATGATTAATGCTGCCATACACAAGGTTTTTGTGGACATATTATATTTGCTTTTTTTTAAAAAAAGATTTATTTATTTGAAAGAGTTACAGAGAAGTAGAGCCAGAGAGAGAGAGGTATTCCATTCTGTTGGCTCACTCCCCAAATGACTGCAATGGCCAGAGCTGAGCTGATCCGAAGCTAGGAGCTTCTTCTGAGCTTCCCACGTGGATGCAGGGGCCCAAGGACTTGGGCCATCTTCTACTGCTTTCCCAGGCCATAGCAGAGAGCTGGATTGAAAGAGGAGCAGCCGGGACTCGAATTGACACCCATGTTGGATGCCGGTGCTGCAGGCTAGGGCTTTAACTCACTGTGCCATAGCACTGGCCCCATTGTATATTTTCATTTTCACTGAGTTCATACTTGGGAATATAACTGTGGTTACTTACATTCATTTCAAAAATATGCTTTATTTTTTTAGATAAGTTTAAAATTTATAGGAAAATTGTGACTATAGCACAGAGACCACCACCATCTTTACTTCCTCAGCCGGTTGGCTCTATTATTAACATCTTACCTTAGTATGATACATTTGTCACAGTCAATGAACCAATGTTATTTATAAATAATATAGGCTGTTGATAGTGATAGTAAAAGTTAGTGTTATGGAATCAGTGCATTATTATGAAGTTGCATCCATGCTTTATTCAGGTGTTCATAGTTATTACCTTATGTTCTTTCTCTGTCTCTGGGCCCCTCCTTGACCCTGACAGTTTCTCAGACTTCCCTTGTTTAAAGTGACCTTGACAGTTTAAAAAAAATTTAAGAGCAGAAGGAGGGGGGCAGAGAGCGAGCGAGTGTGCGCTTGCATCCGCTGGTTCACTCCCTAAATACCTGCAACAGCCCTTGCCTGGGTGCTGAAGCCAGAAACTGGGAGCCAGGCACTTGATCCAGGTCTCCCATGTGGGTGGCTGTTACCTTCCATCTCCCAGAGCTCACACTAGCGGGAAGCTGGAGCCAGGAGCCAGAGCCAGGTTTCAAAGCCAGGCACTCTCAACGTGGGATGTGGGCATGTTAGCTGTGAGGGCAAATGCCCATCCACCAATGCCCCTCGTGTAAGATGGTGTAGTGTCTGCATGGAACCTGTGCAGTCCTCCCGCAGACGTCGGGTCGTCTCCAGACAACTTACGACACCTGACACCACGGGGATGCTGTGCCTGTGGTTGCTATGCGTGTTCCTTAGGGACTCCTGGTGAGGAAAAAGTCTGTACGTGTTCAGTTGTGGACACACTTGTTTCCCCCTAATATTTCCCATCCTCGCTTCAATCAACGGGTGCAGAAGCTGTGGGTATGCAGGGCCACTGAACTCTGTTCTTCAAGTTAAATGACTGCCTGAGACAGTGGTGCAGTGGGGACTCACCCAGGGCCTTTGGCCTCACAACACTTGTCCTATCCCAACTGGACTCCGTGTTTCAGTGTCTGAGTGTGTGATAAACACCTGCTGTCCTGCAGTGCTCCCTGTGGCATGCGTGCGGGCGCTCCTGGCAGGAAAGAGAGCCATTTAAATAAATACCATTATCAAAATGTGTGCCTTGAAGACATTTATTAAATCAGTTAAGAATAGAATGCTGTATAATTTTATATTTTAAAGTCAACTTATTTTTGGATGCTGTGTAATTTTAAGAAGTGAATCCTGGTGAGCAGGGAAAATCTGTCCCATCACTAAGTTCACTGGACTCCTTTCCTGCTTTTCTTCCCTTCAGTGGGCTCGTGGGACGAAGCTGGGCCATGCTGTTTGCCAGTGGAGGCTTCAGGGTGAAGCTGTACGACATTGAGCCACGGCAGATAACCGGCGCCCTGGAAAACATCAGGTAGGTCAGCGGTGCCCTCTGGGTGCACCTGTGATGGCGTGGGGTCTCGCGGTGCATCCTGGGCGCTGCAGCACCAAGGCCGTGTGTGCGTCTGTCATTTCACTCTTTGTTTTGAGGGCCATGGCTGTGCCTCTGAGCTGGTGCCAGCCAGGCCTAAGGGGACAGGGACATGAATTAAGACTGGAGAAGCAGGCATGAAAAGCCAAGACACTGTGGCAAAAAAAAAAAAAAAAAAAAACCAACAACAACAAAACACCGAAATGAAAGATCTCTGTGAGAGAGATCCCAGCAGAAAGAATAGGCCATCAAAGAAGGAGGTACCTTTCTCTGAAGGGAGGAGAGAACTTCCACTTTGACTATGGCCTTGTCTAAATGAGATCGGAGTTTGTGAACTCAAGAGGCTTCCATAGCCTTGGCAGCTCATGACAAGAGCCTCAGGTGATCACTGACGTCATAAATAAGAGTGTCAATTGTTAAATCAACAGCGGGAGTCGTTGTGCACCTACTCCCCATGTGCACCTACTCCACATTAAGGACAAAGGTCCTTAATGTGTTTTACTATGTGCATTAATGATAAAACTACTACTCAAACAGTACTTTATACTGTGTCTGTGTGGGTGCAAACTGATGAAATCTTTACTTAGTATACAGTTGATTTCTGTATATAAAGGTAATTGAAAATGAATCTTGATAAAGAATGGGATGGGAGAAGGAATGGGAGATGGGATGGTTGTGGGTGGGAGGGAGGTTATGGGGGGAAAAGCCGCTATAATCCAAAAGTTGTACTTTCGAAATTTGTATTTATTAAATAAAAGTTAAAAAAAGAAGACTGAAGAAGAAGTTGAAGTGGTGAGGAAAGGCCCCTTCGCGTTGGAGGTGCTAGTGGGGCATGGTGAAGCCTAACGGGCAGTGTGGGCTTCCAGCCTGAACAGTCCGTGGGCTTCTGTCTCAGCATCACACGGGGCCGAGGGCTGGGGGTTCCTGCATCGTCCCTGGGCAGGTGATGGCCGAGCTACCCCGGCATTCGCTACCTTTGACCAGCAGAGGCTTGTCTTGACCTGTTGATGTGATGGTGCCAGGACCTTAATGCACACGTGCTGTCAGCAGAGGGCTTCAGCACTCATACAGCACAGAACTGGATTTAGCTGTGTGGGCGCTGCTGTGCCAGCTGTGCCAGCTGTGCCAGCTCTGCTAGGTGAGGCTCCAGAGTAGATGGACTTACCAAAAGCCGAGTGGTGAGAATGCTAAGGGCGGGGCTTCAGGGATGGCAGCCACAGTGGGCGGAAGAATAGGACCCAAAGAAAAAGCTGGGGATGGGAGAGGTCAGAGAGAAAAACCAAACTAATGCCACGTGCCCGAGGGCAGGAGCACCGAGCATGGTGGCACACCAGCTGCGGTGACAGCTGCCAGATGCTGTTTCCACTGGGGATGTGGTTTTGGTTAGCAGCTTATCTTTTTCCTTGGAGGGATAGCCATGAACATATAGCTTGAATTTGCTTTTCTGTTACAAAAATACAATTACTTTATTGCTTGCTCTTTTTAAAAAGATTTTATTTATTTATTATTTGAATGGCTGAGGCAGAGAGAGAGAGGTCTTCCATCCACTGGTTTACTCCTCAAATGGCTGCAACAGCCAGAGCTGCACCGATCCGAAGCCAGGAGCCTGGAGCTTCTTCCAGGCCTCCCATGTGGGGTGCAGGGACCCAAGGACTTGGGTCATCTTCTGCTTTCCTAGTAGAGAGAAAGGATACTACTGCTTTCCCAGTAGAAAGCTAGATCAGAAGAGGAGCAGCTAGGACTCAAACCAGTGCCCATATGGGATGCCAGCACTGCTGCCAGTGGCTTTACCTACTATGCCACAGTGCTAGCCCCAATTGTTTGTTTTTTTGAGAAGACTAACTTACAGGTCTATCAGGCTACAGGCATTAAGAAATTATATACGGGTACTTGAGCAAGTTCACAGAGGGGCAGGCATTGCAGTGCAGTGGGATTATGCCTATGCCTGCCTCCCATATTACTCATCGTGCCTGATTTGAACCCTGGCTACTCTATGCTTCTGACCCAGCTTCCTGCTGATGCACCTGGGAGGCAGAAGGTGATGACCCACACACGCACACACGTACTTGGGTTCCTGCTGCCCTTGTGGGAGACCTGGATGGAGTTCCCAGCTCCTGGCTTCAGTCTGGCCTAGCCCTGGCTGTGGGGGGCATTGCATTCAGAGAATGAACCGGCAGATCTCTCACTTTCCCTCCCCTCCCCCTCCCCCATCTCCCTCCCTCCCTCCCTCCCTCCCTCCCTCCCTCTCTTTCTCTCTCTCTCTCTGTCACTCTGCCTTTTTAATATAAAAATCAGTCTTTTAAAAAAGTTCATGGAAAATGGGATTTAAAATAAGTTTATTTTGTTGAAATCCATTCATACAAGGTATCTCCAAAAAGTTCATGAAAAAACTCTGTATGCATTTCAACATTTGTTGTTCCAAAGTGAGCCTCTATTTTCATTTATTTACTTATTTTTAAAGATGTGTTTGTTTATTTGAAAGGCAAAATCCTGCCCCAGTTTTTTAAAATCCTTTCATGGTATATGTGTATAATGTGTGTAAATGGATTTTTTTTCTTTTCAAATCACACTCAAGGCCTTCCTATTACTCTATTTTGCTTAATTAACAGTGACATAGTTTATATCACTGGTGCCCCATTAGGTTGAACTTTTAGTCTGTAAGCTTTTTGAACTAGATAAGCCAAAATAAGTTATTACTGTTAGCACCCACATTATAGAAGAAGCAAATATGCTGGATTCTTGTGTGTTCAATATTTTCTTTTATTACTTTCAAAATGCTTATTCATTTTTTATTTGAAACAGAAAGAGAGAGGAGAGAGAAAGATAGAGGTAGCTTCCATCTGCTGGTTCATTCCCCAAATGCCTACAACAGCAGGGGCTGTGCCAGGTGAAAGCCAGGACCCAGGAACTCCATCTGAGTCTCTCATGTGGGCAGCAGGGGACTCCAGTACGTGAGCCATCGCTGCTGCCTCTCAGGCACATTAGTAGGAAACTGGATTGGAAGTGGCAGAGCCAGGACTCAATCCCACACACTCTGACATAGGATGCAGGTAGCCCAGGTGGTGGCTTTAAACCTCTGCACCACAATGCCCAGCTACATGCATCTAAGATTTTAAGGGAACATATAAATCTTTCCTAAATATCAGTGACTACTTTTATAGCTCCTATGTTTGAAGGGTCCGCAAAAAGTTCATGGAAAATGTATATTAGGAAAAAAATCTATGAAAATTTTGCACCAAAATTATTTAATTTCATATTTCCATAAACTTAAATTATTTATTTGATTCAAAAGACAGCAAGGCAAAGAGTGAGCAAGACCTTCCATTCATGGTTCACTTCCTAAATGCCCACAAGAGCTGGGGCTGAGCCAGGCTGAAGCCAGGAGCCCAGAATTCATCCCACATCTCCCACATGGGCAACAGGTACCCAAGTACTTGAGCCATCATCTACTGCCTTCCAGGGTGTACATTAGCAGGAGGCTGGATTGAAAGCAGATCTGAGATTGGACCGGAGGCACGTTGACTTGGGATGCAGGTGCCTAACGCAGCGTCTCAACCATTTTGCTAAATCCAAGCACTTCTTGAGCTTTTGTGAAATCCCCTTGTACATTTAAGCTGCATCGACTTAAAGACACAGAACTGGTTGTACTTCTTTGGCAGGAAGTGGGGAATCCTAGGGTATCTTGTGACCAGCTGCCTCTTTCTTAAATTCTTGCTAGCAAATAGCTTCAGGAAAATCCGGTTGAGTCCTGTTGTGTTGCCCCCCCACCCCTCCCGGGGGATACTGGATTCCTCATCTTAAGTGACTTGTAGGTAAAGCTGCCAGCTTCCATTTCTGAAATCAGATCTTCCACGGTGCCATTCCTGTGCAGAGAGACCAAGTTGGAGGACTGGGACCAAATCTTACTCTTGCAAATATTCTTGTCAATGTGGTGACTTCTGAGTCTGAGGGTTTTCATCCAGGAAAGAGTTATTGCTGTCCCCCCCCCCACCCAGGAAGTAATAGTAGTCAACCAGCAGGTTAACCATGACTGTGACTTGTGTCAGCAGCCACACTGTCCTTTTCCTGTGGTCCTTGGTGGTTCAGAAAGCCCAGGCCAAAATGTTCCTGACTTATGTTAGGCCAAAGGAGTATCAGAGGAGACAACTTTCTTTTTTTCTTTTTTTTGTTGAGAAGTAGACCTGCCCTTACCTACCAGGGATACGTTATGAGACCTCCAGTAGATGCCTGAAACCACAGACAACACCAACTCCCATATTCCAGGATGTTTCAAAAAGTTCATAGAAAATGGAACTGAAAGATGTATATCTTGGTGCCAAAAATTATCAAAATCTGGGGCAGCATGGTATAGCAGGTTAAACTACCACCTGTGACACTGGCATCCTATACGGGCACTGGTTTGAGTCCCAGCTGTTGCACTTCCAATCCAGCTCCCTGCTAATGTGCCTGGGAAAGCAGCAGAGGATGGCCCAAGTGCTTGTTGGGCCCTTGCACCCACGTAAGAGACCTTGATGGAGCTCCTGGCTCCTGGCTCCTGCCTTTGACCTGGCCCAGCTCTGGCTATTGTGGTCATTTGGTGAGTGAACCAGCAAATGGAAGATCTCTCTCTTTCTGTGTCTTTCCCTTTCTCTCTGTAACACTGCCTTTCAAATAAATCTTTTTTTTTTTTTTTTTTTTTTTTTTTTGACAGGCAGAGTTAGACAGACAGAAAGGTCTTACTTCTGTTGGTTTACCCCCCCAAATGGCCGCTACGGCCGGTGTGCTGCAACTGATCTGAAGCCAGGAGCCAGGCACTTCCTCCTGGTCTCCCATGCAGGTGCAGGACCCAAGTACTTGAGCCATCCTCCACTGCCTTCCTGGGCCACAGCAGAGAGCTGGACTGGAAGAGGAACAACCGGGACAGAACCGGCACCCCAACCGGGACTAGAACCTGTGGTGCCAGC